GAAAGGGGAAGAGAGGACGAACGGAAGAAAGGGACAAAGAGGAGGGAGGAGGATGGAACGAGAGAGAGAAAGAGAGAGAAAGTAGCAGGAGGAAGGCTAGGAGCAGAAAACACGTGGCAGAACCAGACGGGCAGATCGGGCGGGTAAACCCTAACAGGCGGGTCGGGAAGGCGGGCCCAGGCGGCCGAGTCGAGCAGGCGGATTGTTGAAGCGTGCGTCCCGCATGAATCGCAAGTCTCGAGCGACAGCGCGATTCCCCAGTATACCGTGAGATACGCCAAAGCGAGAGCGTGATTCTTGAGTGTCGATGACACGGCGTCTGAGCAAATTCTGAGGAAGTCCCACACGAGAGCGCGATGTCTGCATACGTTGTGAGGACGTCCTGCGCGAGAGCGCGATTTGGGAATACATTGTGAGGAAGTATCAGGCGGGAGCCCCTGTTGTTGCAACTCGGGGGGAGGCAGGGGCCCAATTCTGCGACCCAAGAGCATCCCTGAAAAAACAGGTTGGATCCCCGGGAAGGGCACTTCAATGTAAAAAGCGATGTGCCCCCAAGGGGGGGGAACAACAATGTCTGTCCTTCAGTAGTGAGGCTTCAAGACCAACAGCAACAACAACACCGATCAATCTAAGCATGTTCGCTCTTACTTGCCCGCGTGTCATTCAAAACGAGTTCCCCACACCCTCGATACCCGCTCTTTTTGTCTTCGATCACATCCCCTTTGGGGGGAGTAATTCTCTTTGCGGGGGGCGGCGGGCTTAGACAGGCGGGCAAACCTGAACGGGAGGACCATCCTTCGTGGGCGTACATGTGCCCGCCATTGGAATTGGTGTGGGCCCTGCAAAAAGAGGAGGGGGAGAACGAGGGAGAGTGGGCGGATGGGAGGGGGAGCGACGAAGGAAGAGGGAAAACGCCAGGAGAGAAGGAGCGAAGAGGGGGGCGGCTGATTAGAGGCAGAGAGAGAGAGAGAGAAACACACATACATGTATATATATATACATACATACATGCATACATACATACATACTTACTTACATACATACATACATACATACATGCATGCATGCATGCATACAAACATACATACATACGCACATGCACACATACGTACATACATACGCACATACATACATACATACATATCAGGTAGAGAAAGAGAGAGAGAGAGAGAGAGAGAGAGACAAAAAAAAGGGGGGGAGAGAGAGAGAGAGATAATGAAAGAGGGAGGGAGGAGGCAGGAAAGGGGAGGGAGAAGGGAGGAGGGAGAGGAGGGAGAGGGGATAGGGCAAAGAGGCATAAGGATGAGGGAAGAGAGGAGGGAGAGAGAAGGGAGGAAAGGAGGGAGGAGGGAGGAGGGAGAGGGAGGAGAAGCAGAAAGGTAAAAGCGTGAACGTTCGAGGAAGTCCTTGGCGAAAGCGCCGTTCCTGAAGGAAGTCTCGGGCGGGAGCCCACGACGGGCGGGCGATCCCCTGACGGGTTGGTCGGGGGGTGGGACATTCAAGCGAGGTGCTTGAGTATGGCGAGAGCGCGATTATTAAGTAAATTGTAACGGCGTCCTTGGCGCAGCGTGTTTCCTGAGCGTCCAAAGCGCGATTTCTCAATACATTGCATGGAAGTCACAGGCGGGAGCGCAATTCCTGAATAGAATGTGAAGGGCTCTCTGGCGGGAGCGGGGGTCTTGATTAAATCCCACCAGCCCTCTGGGCGTAGGTGGTCTAGAGCAGATCCTCTTCCACCCCTCCCTCTTCCCCCTTGGGGAGGGGTTTACCCCTCCCCCTACCCCCTCCCCTGGACCTGGACGGGGGGGGCCGCTGGTAGTTAGAGCGTCCCAGATGGCCCAAGACGGCTCCAAGAGCGCCTCAGAGAACCCAAGATGAGCTCCAAGATGGCTCAAGATAGCGCAAGATCGCTCGAGATGGCTCCTAAGATGGTTCCAAGAAGCCCAAAGACGGCCCCAAGATAACTCCAAGTGGCCAAACAGCTCCCCAAGGAGGCCCCGAAGAGGCCAAAATCGTCCCAAAACCTAAGGAAAATCAATGATTTTTGCTTTCTCGCCTTTTCGCTTCCGATGGCCATCCGAGGCCTGGAGATGGCTCCAAGATGGCCCAAGAGGGCCCCAAGAGAGCCCCAAAAGAGCCCCAAGACGGCCCCAAGAGCGCCCAAGAGCACTCCAAGAGCGTTCCAAGAGGGGTCCAAGAGGCGATTTTAGGGGCTTCCGAGGGGGGACGCTAATTCAACCCCCCCTCTTGTTTGATCGATCTCCTCCAAGATGGCCCCAAGAAGCGCCCAGGAAGCCCCAAGAGGTCCCAAGATGGCCCCAAAATGGCCCCAAGAGGCCCCCAAGAGGCCCCCCGGAGGCCCCCAAGAGACCCCCAAGAGGCCCCAAGAGCCCCCCCAGATGCACCCAAGATGCTCCAAGAGGCCTCGGCGAGAATGCCTAATCATTGATTCTACACAGGTTTTAGCCACATGGAGGCCTCTTGGGGGGGGGCACGGATTAAGATGACTCCAAGAGCGTCTGGGAGAGCCCAAAATGACTTCCAAGATGGCTCAAGATATCCCAAGATGTCTCATAATGGCTTCCTCTGTGTGCTGCCCACTTCTCTGATCGAGGCAATTCCTCTGGGCATCGTTTCTGGATGGGCTGGTGGGGATTCGCGAAGCGACAACAATTGCGAGGAAGTCTTGATTCAATTGCGAGGAAGTATCAAGCGGGAGCGCCGTTCCTGCGTAAATTGTTAGGAAATCTTAGATGGGAGCGGGCGTCCTGACTAAATTGCGAGGGAGCCACAGGCGGGAGCACCGATCCTGAGTAAATTGTGAGGAAGTCTCACGAACGGGGGTCTTGAGTAAATTCGGAGGAAATCTCAGGCGGGAGTCGTTGTTGTTGTAATCCGGGGGGCCTGGGGCACAATTTGAGCACCAAGACTTTCCTTGTCAAAAAACAGGGTGCGATCGTCGGGGACACTTTGATTGAGAAAAACAGCGTGCACCGGTGATGGGGGATCAACAATAATGGTTCTTCAGAAATAAGAGTCCAACAATAGTTTGAAGAGTGTTCGCTCTTACTGGCGCGCGTGTTCTGCATTCTGCATACCGCAACCTCCGATACCCGCCCATCCGGCCTTCGATCGCAACCCATTTCGGGGGGAATATCTTCCTTTCGTCCACTGATTGAAGCGCGAGGAACTCTCGAGCGAGAGCGCCGTTCCTGAGCTCGGGGGCCTCTCTGGCCAGGCCAGGGGCTCCTGGGGAACATATTAAGAAAAATCGAACGGGAACCCTTGTCGCCGTGTCTGGGCCTCCACCAGCTTGCTTGAAATACGAGAAAATCTCGAGCGAGAGCGCCGTTCCTGAGTTCGGGGGACTCTCTGGCAAAGGCCTCTGCGAATACATCTTGAGGAGATATCAAACGAGAACCCTTGTCGTCGTAGTTGGGCCTCCACCAATTTGAGTGAATCACGAGGAAGTTCCAAGCTAGAGCGCCGTTCCTGAGTTCGGGAGCCTTCCTGGCCAGAGTTCGGGGCCTCTCTGGCCAGGGTGTCTCGGGGCAAACTGTGAGGAAGTATCGAGCGGGAGCCGCTGTCGTCGTAGCCAGGCCTCCAAGGGCCTGCTTTTACGTTCAAGCCAACGCTCGCGCGGGAGCTTCGCTGTCAGAGAAAGTGTAGCCGGCGTCGAGGCGAGAGCGCGCGGAACCGCTTCCGGAGATCAGCAATATTTATTTATTTGTTTGAAATGATTTTGCGAAGGCCTTACGGCCGGTGCTG